CTCCATTGATCACCCAAGTTTCAATGTAAAGCCCTCCAGGTTTTACTTATTCCCCTCATTCCCTACTGATATAGATCCCATTTCCTCCTCAATCTACAAGTTATCTTTCTCTACGATACTCCATCGGCTCTCTCTTTCTTTTCTCCAAGTTATATTTTTTTTTGCGGATTCCAAAGTACTCCGTACGTTATATTTCAAAGAATAAGCAAATTTTGATCTTTCTTCAGGGGAGAAATAGATTTCTTATCTGTTTGCACCTTTTCAAACTCTCACGTTTGATGAACTGCACCCAATAGAATAGGGGTGAGCAATTTGGTTTACGGTTTGGTTTTCTTCGGTTTCGGTTTATTCGGGTTGTGAGAATTTGTACCAAACTAAAACCATTTGTGTTTCGGTTTGTTTTCGGTTTGTTTCGGTTTGAATTTCGGTTTACCAAAGTAAAAAGTATTACATTTAATTTAGTTTGGTTTGATTTGTTTGCTTATTTTTATATTTTATTTGATCAAGTTCTATATTTTAGAATTAGAAAATGAAAGTAATAGTCCATCTCATATTTTTTTAATTTATTGATTATTTAAATAAAATGTAAAAGGAAATAAATGATAGAAAAATAGATAATAAAATATTATAAATTAAAACTTCTAACATCTTTTTTATCACTACAAAAAATTCACTTCTTACAAAAAATAAGATAATTGATTAGCATTTGTAATATCACATAAAATATTCAAAAAACCTAAAAGAGTCGGTGGTACAAATGTTGTAATTGTTGGAAAGCAATAAAAGGGGCCTAATATGTAATTAAAATGTGTTTACCATCAAATAAATAATACAGTGGCTATTCATGAAATAATAAAAGTGTAGATACCAGGATAATATATTTCTTTTGGTGACGGGTCAAATTAAATATATTACACTAAAGTGATACAACGGTTATGACCCCCGATGCGTGTAAACTAAGAGATAACAGTAAAGATATTGTAACGGAAAATGGCCTAATAAATTATTCTAAATAATATCATTATTGTAATAATAATAAAGGAGTTATTAGAATACTAAGGGCCAACCGTTACAATATTCCACTAGTCCTATATATATCCCATCAATAGGTAGGACTAGGACCATCAACATCTCATACGGTACATAGCACTGGAAGGTTAGACTGATCAATCGTGTTGGATTCCGGGTCTTCTTAAAGTGTTAATGCAAATGAATTCTCAAGGTATTGTTCTAATCTTAGTTCATACATATTTGATTTCATGGATTTATATGGATTTAGCTATTATATATTTATATATATATCGCATATGGAGTTTTGTTGATATATGTATGAATATCCAACAGTAATATTCACAATTTCATTCAAATGAATCATGTAAAAATGTAAATGCAATTTGCTATTGTTATCGCCAAACATAATAAATACTGCGTACAAATATGTCGTATTAGCTAACTTTGTCATAATGAATGTATGAAATGTGTAAAAATTAAAATGATACGAGTATATGCTTAAAGATGTATATTCATGTCTAAATTATTTATTTATATCTTAAAAATGAAGAGTGAAGATAAATGCAACATATATATATATATATATATATATATATATATATATATATATATATATATATATATATATATATATATATATATATATATATATATATATATATATATATATATATATATATAGATAAGTATTCAGGTCCGGCCAGGCCGGACCACTCCCCCCATCTGGCCTCCTCCATTTGGGGGCCTTCCCGGTGGTATTTTTTGCTCAAATATTTTGTGTAGGTTCCTCATCAAGTCTAGTTCATCCATACCAAATTTCAGCCAAAAATTCAATCGGGAAGTTCGTCAAATGATTTTTGCAAGTTAACTGGTCCGGAAAATACATATTCCGGACCAGTTAACTTGCAAAAATCATTTGACGAACTTCCCGACTGAATTTTTGGCTGAAATTTGGTATGGATGAACTAGACTTGATGAGGAACCTACACAAAACATTTGAGCAAAAAATACCACCGGGAAGGCCCCCAAATGGAGGAGGCCGGACGGGGCTCCGGTCAGGTATACCTGACCGGAAGACTATATATATATATGTATGTATGTATGTATGTATGTATGTATGTATGTATGTATGTATGTATGTATGTATGTATGTATGTATGTATGTATGTATGTATGTATGTATGTATGTATGTATGTATGTATGTATGTATGTATGTATCTATGTATGTATGTATGTATGTATGTATGTATGTATGTATGTATGTATGTATGTATGTATGTATGTATGTATGTATGTATGTATGTATGTATGTATGTATCTATGTATGTATGTATGTATGTATGTATGTATGTATGTATGTATGTATGTATGTATGTATGTATGTATGTATGTATGTATGTATGTATGTATGTATGTATGTATGTATGTATGTATGTATGTATGTATGTATGTATGTATGTATGTATGTATGTATGTATGTATGTATGTATGTATGTATGTATGTATGTATGTATGTATGTATGTATGTATGTATGTATGTATGTATGTATGTATGTATGTATGTATGTATGTATGTATGTATGTATGTATGTATGTATGTATGTATGTATGTATGTATGTATGTATGTATGTATGTATGTATGTATGTATGTATGTATGTATGTATGTATGTATGTATGTATGTATGTATGTATGTATGTATGTATGTATGTATGTATGTATGTATGTATGTATATGTTGTTTGGTGTTCGGTTTACGGTTTTTCCGTTTTAAACCAAACCAAACCAAAGTACCAAACCATTCGGTTTGAGCAAATGTTTACCAAACGGTTTACTTAAGTAAACCCAAACCAAACCAAATCAAACCACCAATGTTACTAATATATGAATTTTTTTGAGTTTCTTTAGTTCGGTTCGGTTTTGTTCAGTTTTTATCGGTTTCGGTTCGGTTCGGTTTAATACGGTTTGAAAGAAATAATACCAAACTCAAACCAAATTGTGTACAGTCCGGTTTCGGTTTACTTCGGTTTGGTACGGTTTGGTTCGGCTAAACCAAACCGTTATGCCCACCCCTAGAATAGAACCATCTCCTCATGGATGGCTTGAATTAGTGGAGCATGCTATGACCAAATTTTAATACGTAGTATTTTTGTATTGTTTCATATACTGAAATTTTTTTTTTGTATTTAATGCACTATATTTTATATGAATATACAAACATATAAATATGTATTACAATCTCAATATTTATTAAATTATGAAAGCATTATAATAAATATTTATTGTGTTAATTAACATATGCCCTTTAATGTAATTTCAATTAGTTGGACAATTTTCAGCTCTTTTTGTCAAACAGGTGTACTTCATTCAGCTAAGAGTTCAGATTCAGCACTTTAAAGTACAATTACAGGTAATAGTCTCCGATTCAGACAATAGCCCCCAATTCAGACAAAAATCTCGAGATTCAGCTCGTTTTGCCAAACATAATCTTAAGGGGCTTCTATGGTGCCTGCGAAAATAAACCATGTACCGGTACCTTTACATTCCGACCAATCAAGATGCACTGAGATGCCACGCTAGCATCATATCGTTTTAGTAAACTAAGTTTTATTATTTGCATTTGAAGCCCTAATAAAGAAGTGAAACATCTAACGTTTGTTAACAGCTCAATACTCCGTCACACTCTGTTATTTCCGGAAGTTCCACAAAAAAGCCTCATCGCCCTGTTTTGGTTTCTAAGGCTACATCAAACCCACAGATGAAACCAACTCAAACATCAAGGTGCCGTCGAAGAGAAAGGGTGATCAATTTGTGCTTTGATGCTTTCAATTTGTGAGCAAGCTTTGGGGAGCAACATCCATGGGGATTCTCCCTCGAAAACGAACCCAGATTCGAATTCTCAATCTTCTTCTTCTTCTTATCTTACCAGAAGCAGGATGCACCCGACACTGTAGGATTCTTCCACCTTCTTTCTTGGAAGTTGCCAAGAGGCATCTCACACCTTCTAGGAAGGAGCTCTCCAACATATGAGCATGGGAGAAGATATGGAGATAACTATGGAAGCTTGGATGCAACTTCCCCTTGTCTCCAAATAGCCCTATAAATAGAGTGTTCTATTGTTGTTCATATCATCAGTTTAGAAAGTGAGAAAAGTGTGTGAAGAGTCTTGGATGCAACTTCCCCTTGTCTCCAAATAGCCCTATAAATAGAGTGTTCTATTGTTGTTCATATCATCAGTTTAGAAAGTGAGAAAAGTGTGTGAAGAGTGAAATACACTTAGAGTAGAAGTGTATTGGTGAGGATTGGTTTTTTGTAATAGTTGAGTGTGAGAGTTTGCTCCTCCTATTGTAATTCTGTTCTTGATATTGAATAGAAGAATTTTCCAATCCCAACAAGTGGTATCAGAGCGAGGTTGAGTTTTCATACACTGTTTTCTCATTTTCAGATAAATTTCTACAGGTTAGAAAATCGTGATTTTTCAAGTTGCTCGGAATCACGATCTGATCATACCGTTAGATTCGTCTCGTCGAGACGAGAAATCTGGTATTTTTGGGGAATTTTTTGGCCACCGAAAGAGGCCGTACGCGCCGCCCAAACGCGCCGGAAAACTGCCTGCGTCATCATTGCGTCATCACGCAGCCCAGAGGAAGAAGACGAGCCACGTCAGCGCCACGTCAGCGCCACGTCAGCGCCACATCAGTCCACGTAAGCGCCACGTCATCCGCCACGTCAGCCGCGCAAGCCATCCTCTGGGTGCCACGTCAGCACCACGTCAGTGACACGTGGCGCCACGTCAGCGCCAGCGCAGAGCCAGCTGTTGCCACGTCATCCGCCTGCTGGGCTGCTCACTGGGCTGCTGCCTGAACCGGACCGAACCGATTCGTACTTGTGGAGGCCGGTTCACCCCATTTTCAGACCGGTTTTGGACGAGGTCAGACCGGTTCCTACCATTTTCGGCCTTTCCGGATCCAACGGTGAGCTCCGTTTGTCCAAATTCGGCTCCGAAAATAAGGTACGAGATATTTTGAGCGTTTTATTATGGATAAATCATCATCGGACACCATGATTGCGCTCACTTCCACAAATTACAATATGTGGAAGCCTCGGATGGAGGATTTGCTAAATTTGAGGGATTTAGCTGATCCTCTTGATAATAATGGCGTGAAACCGGATAAAAAGACGGATGAAGAATGGACAAAAATGAATAGAAAAACTGTCGCACAAATTCGGCAGTGGATCGATCATAGTGTGTTCCACCATGTTGCGCAAGAACAAAGTGCTTACACACTATGGGAGAAGCTTGGTAGCATGTATCAAGCAAAAACCGCCCGAAATAAGACATTACTAATGAGGAGATTAGTAAACCACAAGTTACGAGGAGGTATTTCGGTGTCAGAACACACCAGTCAATTCCAGGATCTTGTGAATCAGTTGAGCACCACCGGATGGGTTCTCAAAGATGAAGAGCAGGCGATACTACTCTTGAGCTCTCTACCTGACAGCTGGGAGACTCTTGTTGTCACTCTCAGCAATTCTGCTCCCAATGGCAAAGTGACTATGCAGATGGTCACAGATGCCCTTATGAACGAAGAAGCCCGAAGAAAAGAAGCCGGGACTGAACAATCATATGCCTTCGTGTCAGAAACCAGCAGACGAGGGGGAGGCAGAAATGGAGGAAGAAGTCGAGGTCGAGGTAGAGGCCAAGGTCAAAACAGAGGAAACTCTCAAGTTCGTGGCAGATCACAAGAGAGAGGTATGTCCTATGAAAACAATAATTGGTTTGAAGGATATTGCAATTATTGTAGTAATTATGGGCACAGAAAAAGAGATTGTAGAAAGTTTCTACGAGAGCAGCCACAAACGAGTCAAAATACTAGCCAAGAAGATGGTGAGACCATGGTTAGTTTGTCATCAGACGTGTGTCTTGTTACACATGGTGAACAAGAATGTTTACACGTAGGTACTCATGATGTTGAGTGGGTGATTGATACAGCTGCATCATTTCACGCCACTCCACACCAGAATTTATTCACATCTTATAAGTCCGGGGACTTTGGAGCTGTGAAGATGGGAAACACCAGTTTCTCGAAGATTGTTGGCATTGGTGATGTGCACATAACAACCAATGTCGGATGCGCACTTGTGTTGAAAGATGTTCGACATGTTCCGGATCTTAGATTGAATCTTATCTCTGGTACAGCTCTGGATCAGCAAGGATATCTTAACCGATTCAAAGAAGGTACGTGGAAGTTATCTAAAGGTTCCTTGGTTGTTGCAAGAGGCCATATTTGTGGTACTCTTTATAAAACTCATGCAAAGTTGTGTCATCCAAGTCTTAATGCTGTTGAAGAAGAGATATCACCAACCTTGTGGCACCGAAGGCTAGGCCACTTGAGCGTGAAGGGATTGACAACTCTTGCAAAGAAGGAAGTCATTTCCATGGGCAAAGGTGTTGCCCTAGATCCATGCGAGCACTGTCTATTCGGGAAACAACATAAGGTTTCCTTCAGTTCTACCAGGAAGAACCATTCAGAGTTACTCAGTCTTGTACACTCTGATGTATGCGGACCCATTGAAGAGGAGTCACTTGGAGGAAGCAGATATTTCGTGACATTCATTGATGATGCATCACGAAAGGTATGGGCTTATTGTTTGAAGAGTAAGGATCAAGTGTTTGATCGCTTTAAATTATTTCATGCCATGGTAGAAAGAGAAACAGGGAAGAAGCTGAAGTGCCTGCGTTCAGACAATGGAGGAGAGTACACTTCTCGGGAGTTCTCAGCATATTGCGCGGCATATGGAATCAGACATGAGAAGACGGTTCCACGAACTCCACAGCACAATGGTGTAGCCGAAAGAATGAATCGGACCATTATGGAGAAAGTTCGCTGCATGCTGAGTATGGCTAAACTACCTAAGCCATTCTGGGGTGAAGCTTTGCTGACAGCTTGTTATCTTATAAACAGGTCACCTTCTGTTCCTTTAAACTTTGAAGTGCCAGAGAAGAAATGGTCAAGAAGAGATGTTTCTTACTCTCACTTAAAAGTGTTCGGGTGCAAGGCATTTGCACATGTGTCCAAGGAGTTGAGACAGAAGCTGGATCTCAAGTCAAACCCATGCATCTTCATCGGGTATGGTGATGAAGAATTCGGATACCGGTTGTGGGATCCCGAAGTGAAGAAAGTTGTACGAAGCAAAGATGTTGTATTTCATGAAAACGAGTTTCATGGGTGTGTTCCAATAATCCGCCAACAACATACTCCAGAAGACGAAGTGCCTGTATCATCAAACATTCCTCTCAGCGACGAGGAGATGCATGATACTACTGAACAAGAGAGTGATGGTTCAGTAGGTGATGATGATACTCACAGTGATGATATTCCTCAGCAGGGGGAGCCTTCATCTGAAGACGAAGCTGAAGGTATTCATGTTCGACGTTCTATGCGAGGCATAGTTCCACAGAGAAAGTATTCCACATCCGAATGGATACTTGTTAGCGAGGGGGAGCCTGCGAGCATCGCAGGAATGAGAGAAATAAAGAAAAAGGTGGAGGGGGAGATTTGTAGGATTCTTCCACCTTCTTTCTTGGAAGTTGCCAAGAGGCATCTCACACCTTCTAGGAAGGAGCTCTCCAACATATGAGCATGGGAGAAGATATGGAGATAACTATGGAAGCTTGGATGCAACTTCCCCTTGTCTCCAAATAGCCCTATAAATAGAGTGTTCTATTGTTGTTCATATCATCAGTTTAGAAAGTGAGAAAAGTGTGTGAAGAGTGAAATACACTTAGAGTAGAAGTGTATTGGTGAGGATTGGTTTTTTGTAATAGTTGAGTGTGAGAGTTTGCTCCTCCTATTGTAATTCTGTTCTTGATATTGAATAGAAGAATTTTCCAATCCCAACAGACACCAATTTCTGATATCTATCTCTGCCGGAGGTCATTGTTTTTTAGTTCGGTTCTGTCTCCTCTTCTGCCGACAAGGTAACTTCCCCATTTTCGATTAGCTGGAGCCCTGCAGTTGGGAGATTCTTCCGGCTAGTGCATCCGATGCCCCCCAGTTTACCGTGGTATTTTGATATGTGGGAGAACCCGGTGAGTTTGCAAAATCTATCTCTGGTGTGCTACAGCTTTTGTAATTTGTTATGAACTTATGGATTGTAGTCTGGAGTATTTTCTTGATTTTTATGATTAACGTAGAAGTACAATTTGCATTTCATGGAAAAATGGGTCAATGAAATGTATTTCTTCTTCATATTCTGGATTGCAGATATGTTGCAGCTATGTGTAATAACTTGTTTTCCTACTAGTGGTGGGGTGTGGGGTTGAAGAACATTGATAAAGTGAATGGATTTGATTTAATGCTTAAAAAATCAAGTTATCTACTCCGTATTTTTTATCAACTCCTTAACTTCTACTTCACCTAATATGATTATATGAATTGATTAAGGAGAAACTCTTACTCTGAGATGAATACAGGAGATAAGCCCTCACGGTAGGATAAGTTGTTGCTATTCAGCCACTTTCATTTTTATCACCTTTTTATTCATGATTTTTTCATTGTTTCACTTAAATTGTTGAATGAGGGGTTTTAAAATCTAATCTTGTTACCCGTCCCGTCCCCCTAATAGACCTCATTATACTAATTTTCTCAAAATAAAAACATCTCTTAGTACATAATTTGCTTATTGTGTTGATTGATAGAGTGATGTGCCAAGCAGTTTAAGCACGTTGATTTGAATCTCTTTGTCAGACCAATATCCGTTGTCCTCTTATTTGAACTGCCTGATCAACATACGGAGAACTTGAGTTTCTAGAACTCACATTATGTGTATATGATGTAAAAAAGTTGTCATGTGATAAGCCATTTGAATAGCCCTTCTCTAATAAAGGATAAATTTCTCGTGTCATCAACTAATGCTATTGTAGAATCATTTCAGTTGAAGTTCGCTTGTGCAGGCCCCCGTCAATTCCTTTGAGTTTCGATCTTGCGACCTCTAGCATTCCCGTTCTGAGGAAGATTACCTAGTGTTCTGACTTGGGAGAGAGAACACATAAACACAGGGATAATAGGTGGATCCGGCTTGATGAAAAGCTGTTGCTTGCTGCTTGCTGCCTACTGCGCAAGCCTTGACTGCCCCGTTCTGTAACTTATCTTCAGTCAACTGGTGGAATGCATTGCATCAACCTGGGAGCATTAGCAGTTTAGCTAACGGCAGATTCTTTAGCACTCGTGCTTTCATTATGGATGAACTAGCACGAGTAGCGGCTTCACTAGCTTATCCGGGGTACCGAAGAGGCAAAGCACCAGTGAGGAGACGGAAAGCGATGTGGACTAGGCTTTCTCTTCCACTTATGGTGGTTGGGCACGGAGGAGTATCCGTATTTGGCGGAGTGGGTGAACGTACTCGCCAAGGAAATGATCTTTATGTTGAAATGAAAGAATCCGGAGTAATTTCTTTTCGGATGATCAGCCACACTGGGACTGAGACAAGGCCCGGACTCCCGCTGTAATTTGATCCAAGATACGAGTGGTCGGAGTGGAGCCTATGATGTACTATCTATTTTATAAGTAACAGCAAGATGGTAACTCTGTACTCTAAACGGCTCTACTTTCATCTCAAGATATTCAAGGGCTCTTTGGTGAAACAGCGGTTCTGGGGGGAACGCAGAGAAAACTACCAACCCATTTGTTGATGTCGTATTGTAGTGCGTTTGGAAATTGTTTGTTAACACAGTTGTTTGTATTGTCCTTGTGCCATTTTTTCAAAAAACTTGTCTGCCACCCTTTGAGTTGGCAAGGTGAAAAGCTAAAAATCACACTGCCGTACTAATCCAGACCACAAGGTGGGTCAAAAACTTCGCCGGACCATGCCAATAAACGGCCGCCGGAAATCAAACCTAGACACGACCGCTGTGAGAAGCCAAAAAGACGATCAATGTTCTGATGCTCTGTAAAATCCTTGCTAAATTGGAACGATTAGGGAGGATGATCGAAGATGCCCAGGACGTCTAAACCGATAGCAGGTTTAATATCGCTACTTCGCTATAAACACAATCTTCCATCACTCCGGCAGTAGGCGATGCGAGGAGTTCCTCACCCAGAACTCCATTTAATTAACCACTTTATTAATTAAATGTGACTAATGATACAAAATTAAACACTTTCATAAAAATAATGTCAGTTATTACATGAATATTATAATGTCAATTATTACATGAATATTATAATGTCAATTATTACATGAATATTATAATGTCAATTATTACATGAATATTATAATGTCAATTATTACATGAATATTATAATGTCAATTATTACATGAATATTGTCCAATGCGGAGTAAGAATTTGATAATGTACTAATATAACTATATGAGGACTTGGGATCAAGACTCAAGACCAGAGCACTAGTAATAAAGCCATGGCTCAGCAAAGTCTATCCCAACTTCACTTAAACAATTTATTCAATGGGTAATAATTATACTCCGTACATCCCCAATAATCAATACAAAAATGATACTCCCTCCGTTGAACTTCTCAGTTTGACTTCACACAGATTAAGAAAATAAATTTGACTTTACTATAGAGTACACTGATTTGCACTATTTAAACACTGTTTGACACTTTTTTTATGTAAATTATTTGCCAAATAAGGAAAGTTTTGAAGTGTGAAGTTAATTTCGGGACTGCCCGAAAAAGAAAGTGAGAAGTTAATTTTGGGACGGAGGGAGTATGTGTATCCACTTGTTGAGGTTTATTCCTTCAACCCGTGGACCCAACACGTAAGCCCAAAGGTTTCGAGTGGAGTGAGTGTATGAATGTCTAGCCCAACAACTATTAGATGAATCAGGAAACAAGAGTAATAGCAGACAATGTAAATAGGTATTATTAACTCCGTAATAACTCCCCTAAATACAATCTACTTGCTAGACAAGGCACGTCGGCCGTTCGTCTTACAGGGCAGTTAGAAATGCTGCGAGTAAGAATGCTGAAGCTAGTATGCTAAGAATAGGAAGTTGCCAACCCTTTACAATGGAATAAATGCTTCTATTTATACCCGCCAATGGGCAGGTGGCTGTAGTGACGTGGCAGCCTGTGGACCGCTGGTGTCCCAACTACCAAATCTTTAGCATTAAATGCACTTCCCGCCAGAATCTAGGTTTCCCGCCGGATTAGTGGGGACGTTCGTCCACCGGGAAGTGAGTTGGATTGCTCCAAGGGACCCTTGGGAGATATCGGCTGTTCGTCTCCCGGCCTTGATGGATACTCACCATGTGGACTGGGTTTCCCCCGATGACTGCAGGCTTGCTCTGTGGACGTTCGTCGCCATCCCTGGTGGCCCGTGGTTCTGCTCCTTGTCCCTGCATAGACGTTCGTCGGGATGAGCTGCTGGGCCTGAGTCCTCCAACACCAGACGTTCGTCCATCCTCAGGGAACATGGGCCTGTGGGCTGGCCTAGTGTCCTAACTGGACGTTCGTCTGGCAAGATGGGTTAGTGGGCCGGACCTCGGCTTGGGCCCTTAACCCAACACAAGTCCCCCACTTCTGATGTTCTGAGCATGCGCAGGACATAAGGAAGTATGAACCTCCCCGGAGTAGACGTCCGTATCTTGGTACTTGTGTTTCTTGCACCTGGTGGAAGCGTACGTTCGTGGTCATGGTGCTTGACAGCTGTTGACGGTTCAGGAAACGAGGTGACGGCTGATGTTGCGGCGGCGCTTTTTCCCGAGGAAGTGTCATCATTACGTTCCCATCCCACGCACAGCGCGTGGGCCGGAATACGCTCCTTGCCACGTGTCAGCCCCTCATTGGTTTCTTCATCGGTGCTTCTCCTATAAATGCTGGGTTTTCCCTCTGAATTAGGGTTCCCAATTTCTGCTCTCTTGCTCTCGACTTCCCGCAGCTCTTCAAGTTTTCTGAATTCGGCTAACCCTTTCGTAAGGTAATTCCCCCCCTCTGCTTCTTTTCCTTACTCTGATTTCTAGTTGGGATGACTTCGATGGAGATTTCCTCAAGTTCCGGTTCCAGTTCGTCGGGTTCCTCCTCGGGCTCCTCCTCTGAAAATGCGAATGCACGCTCCCTGGGAGAAACTAGTGTTTCCGGAACCTCTGGTTCGGCCACGACGGTGGGGACCATCCGGGCTGATGGCGAGCCGGGTGATGTGTCTCAAGATAGTGGGAGCGACGCCGGGGACGGGGGTGCTGACGGGGCAGTAGATGTTATTGATGCAGTCCCCCTGAATGAGCGTCCTGCTGATTATGATTCCGGAGAGGAAGCTGAATCTGGTTCTGATGTGGAGGTGTACGATCTGGGCATCCCCACGGATATGGAGCGCCACATCTGCCCGATCAGGAGTGCACTTGACCATGACCAAGTCCTCTCCCGCGTGGCCCTCAATAAAGTCCGTACCTTCCTTCCCCCGCCGTTCGTCTGGAGTGTGAGAGGTGCTGAGCATGTGATGAGAAGACGTCCGGGGATGATCATGCTCCATTTGGACTCTGTTGAAGCCGGGCT